CCCTACACACGCACACACAGTTATTGTCTCCTTGGAGATACTATGTTCGAAACCCTTGTGAACTAAGGTCAAGCATTATTCTCAAGCTAAACGTCCAGCCATTCACTCTTCAACAAATAATTACAGGAGGGCCTGGGCACAGCAGGCACTAGGGAGTGTCCCTGTTCTCCGGGGGCTTAAACTCTAGTGAGGAAGCTCTTTTTCAAGTCTTTTGGTTTCTCTAGCACATGGATCCATTAAAAGAGTATGGAGGGGAGAGCAAGAGGCATGGTGGCTAAGGCACTGGATTCCCACACGGACAGTCACAGTTCAAGCCTCAGAAGTGGCAGCTTACAAAACACCCTGAGTGTGTGCATATATACCCAAAATCCCAGAAGGAAACTGGAAGAGACGGGACTGCAGTGTGACCATCCTCCCCATCCCCCAACCCCCAGGTGCTTTCTTTTTTTTTTTTTTTTTTTGAGAGGTTTTTGCTACAGGGCGTGTGCGCTCGCCAGACAGACAGACAGAGACAGAGAGACAGAAAACGAGAAATCACCCCCCAGGGGGGATGGCCACACCGCAATCCCTTCTCCTCCATTCTCCTCTCGGGATCTTGGGCATGCACGCACACGCGCCCAGCGTGAGTTTAAGCCACCGGGTCCGGGACTCAAACCGCAGTCGACTACGTGGGAGTCCAGCAACATAGCCATTACGCTAACTGCTGGTCCCAACCCCCAGGTACTTTCTCACGTTCTCTTTCTACCTCTGGTAAATGCACACACCCTATAGCAAAAATTAAAAAAAAAAAAAATGTAAAAATGATCAGTGTAGTAAGACAAAGTAGGTATTACATAAATTTCTCGCCTTGTTAAACTTTACTGACCTACGTCTCAGATTGCTGTACCCTGCCTCATTTTGACTGTCCTTTTAAAAGTGTCCTTCTAGAAAGTGAATACTTCTCTCTCCTACATCATTTTTCATCTGTAAGATGAAAAAAAGCGTTATGTAACATTTTTGTTTTCTTCCTGAAACTTCCTGTATATCCCCACAGTAATCAAGTAAGTCTTTTTAGTCAGTGCACATATTATGGAAATAAAATCATATGCGGACCCTCGCAATCAAGGAATTACACTATAATCAACAGGCTTCTGATGTACAAATGCTCTTTACTGACCCACTTTCATTAGTGTGGTTTTCTTTCTGATTTGTCCCTCTGCTCAGTAACAAGGAACCTTCTCGGTGGACTACCAGCCCCCAAACTACTCTCAGAACGGACAATTGCATCTTTTTCAGCTCATTTCACCTGCGACGCTTTACACCAAAAGGCACAGCATTTTGGGCACAGCGAATAGGGTAAGGATGCCTGTAGGGTTATCAAAATGCAGAAAACAAGCTCCCGTCTCCCTGGTGGTTCCAGCCTGCTGAGAGTCTGGCTGCAAAAACACGTTCCCCAAGAGCCTGAAGATGGCTCAGAGCAGCTTCCTAAGTCTCGCAGGGCGTGCCTCTTCTCCCCACGTCTTGTCTTCCTCTCTGGCTTTGCACCCAGGCAGAAGCAGACGCTCCTCCCCCCGCCCCCCCTTAAGGGAACTGGCTATCCATAGGGACGGCAAAGCATTGTGGGTGAGGTGGACGTGACGCTTCTCTACGCAGCGAGGCTCCAGGTCTAGCCAATGGCCCAGGCTGCATGAATATGTCCAAAGAGCTGGTAGCCTAGAGATTAAAATTAGCCTGGGGACCAGCTCCTGCCGGGGCCAGTTTCGCACTCCTCCCTCCGTTAAACCAGAAATCGAACGGCCTGCAGCATGCATTGTCCTTGTCCTTCGCTCGTGCAGGCACGATTTATGATCGACAGGCGCACAGTCTAGGCAGACGCAGACAGAAATTGACCAGACCTGTTTCGCTATCGCCGAGAACACGTGATGAGGCTGCCAGCCTTCCTTCCTCTCGGGCTGCGGCGCGCTGCGGCAGGGGCCGGAGGAGGCGGTGCGGGGGCCGCGCGGTCCGCCCGGCTCGCCCAGCTGCGCTGCGTCCCGCGGGGGCCAGCGTCCAAGGAAGCAAGAAGAGGCGGCCCGCCCACCGCTCTCGGGGCGGCTCGGAAAGGCTTCCAGCGAGGAAGGCACTCACCTTTTTGGCACGAGCTCTGTCGCAGCTGCAAGAGGAGGACCTGGGCGAGGACCCGAGGGCCAAGGGGGCGGGCGAGTGGAGCCGGCAGCTGGCCCAGGGGGTCCCTCGCAGGTTGCAGGTCAGGCGCGCGGCGGCACCTGAGCGCGGCCGTGGACACCGAGGTAGCTAACGCGGGGTCGGGAGTTTGCCCCTCAGTTCTGTCGGCCCATCTCCCGACGGCCGGCCGGGCCATGTCCAGAGGCCCGGGCTCCTCGGCCCTACCCTCCACCCCGGGGCTTCGGAAACCCGCCCCCCGCAGCCTCAGC